GAGAAGGAGAGGGAAAAGGAAGAGGAGAGAAAGAGGTTAAAACAAGAGAGAGAAGCACTTGAGAACAAGCAAAGGGAGGAGAGGGAAAAGGTGGAAAAAGAAAGGCTAGAGAATCTCAGGAGGGAGGAGAGAGTTAGGAAGGAAAGAGAAGAGGCAGAGAGGAAGGAGAAAGACAGATTGGAGAGAGAAAAGAAAGAAATGGAGAGGATTAAAAGGGAGAAAGAAGAGATGGAGAAGGAGAGGGAAAAGGAAGAGGAGAGAAAGAGGTTAAAACAAGAGAGAGAAGCACTTGAGAGCAAGCAAAGGGAGGAGAGGGAAAAGGCGGAAAAAGAAAGGATAGAGAATCTGAGGAGGGAGGAGAGAGTTAGGAAGGAAAGAGAAGAGGCAGAGAGGAAGAAAAAAGACAGATTGGAGAGAGAAAAGAAAGAAATGGAGAGGATTAAAAGGGAGAAAGAAGAGATGGAGTGGAAGGAGAGAGAAAAAGAAGAGATAGAAAGAAAGAAGCAGAGGGCAGATGAAGACAAGAACAAAGAAGAGGGTAAAATAGCAAAGAAGAAAATGGAAAAGGAGAAGAACAAAAATGGAGAGGAGGGCAGGGTGATGAAAAAGGATGATAGTAGTAAAGGGGAGAAACCACAACAAACACAAGAAATAACTGTTGGCTGTGTATCAGTGCAAAGGAACCAGAAAGTTGTGAACGTCCAACCAAAGGAGTGGCCGCCACTGAGGGAGGCAGACTTGAATGATATTGCCTATGATGAGAGGCTACAGGGTGATGCAGAGGAATCTGATCCCAAATTAGTGAACACAGTAGTTCCTAATGCTGAAGCCAATTTGGTTTTGCCCAGACCAGGTGATTCTGTCCCTGCAGCCAGAGCAACAAATAAACTTGACTTGAGCTCATACAAAGCTGAAAAAAATGGGAAATCCAGTCTCAAATCTGGTGCCATCCCACTGTGGTTGAGAGAGGAGGAGGAGGAGGATGTGGAGGTGGAGTATGAGAGAGGACATGAGGATCTTGGCTCCATCTGGCTGGCTGAGCTGTACATGGAAGGGGGAACAGGGTGAGTAAGGGGGGGTGAAAGGGACACATAGCAGCAGAGAGAGTGAGGTGAGTAACAGGGAAGAAGCTAGCCATGTGAGGGAGACCTGCTCGCTGCTTCTTGTGGATCACAGCTCTGTGCATGTTTTTGTTTTTTGTCAGTGCTCCCTCCAGTAACTAAGACTTTAACTCATTATATCTGCAGGCAAATATGTACTAAAGCAAAATACTACTGAACTAGAGGTTTTCAAACTGTGAAGCATGCAGTTGAAAATGCCTTCTTCTTGGAGTTATCAAAGATCAAAGATTTTTTTATTGTCACTTCACTATACAGTATGTGACAATAAAAAAATTATAACTCTGAACACAAGAAAAGAGTCCTTAGATCTCCAGAACTTGCCTGAGAATAATGTTTTTAAGTTTTCTTCAGTATCTGAGTATTTAATGCTCATCGTTGCTGAGCAGCATGTTATGTAGCATGGATGGATGCATTGGTTTGGTCAGTGAAGGCTGGAACATGTTTAAAACTTGTGTTTGAAGTTTGGTTTAAACTCACATAGCTAGACCTATGTCTCATCTGTTTGTGGAGATCCTGGGAACATCCTGTCCAGACAGTGTGAGATGTCAAAAGGAATTTTTGAGGCAATTTATAGTAACAGTAATTAGTTTCTAGAGTCTGGGTCAGGAAGAAAAAACTTATGGGCAGTTTTTTTTTTTCAGGTTTCCTTCTTTAATGAGCAGCAGCACCATGCTAGACCATCAGTTCTCCATAAACTGCTATAAGTAATGGCACTGTGCCTTTTTCTAAACATTTGTTCCTGAACATCTTTGTGATGTTAACAAGATGGTGCTCTGGCTACATGAGATGAATGGTGGTACAGTATGTTCCCAAGGGGGAGTGCAGCATGAGAAGGTCACTGCAGTTTGATCTGTTGCTGATCAGTTTTGTCTCTTCAGCCTTTTATGTTTAGCTTTAAAATCTCCTTTTCTGTCTTCAGACCAGGCCACCCCTCCCCTGCTGTAACCCAGAAGCCTTCCTCACTCCCCTTCAGTGAACAAACCCTTGACCGTAACTGTGTTGCCAGTCAGCCAAATAAACCTGAACCTCCAGACCTCCTAACCAGTCAGGCTGATCATTCTAAGCAAAAGGAAAGAATCATTCCGACCACTAGACCCAAACCTGCCCCCCAAAGCAATGAGGCACACAAACTGCCAATAAAAGGACAGGGAGATGATGTCACAAAAACTGGTTTCAGCCTGGAGGTAGCAGCCAGTGAGAAGGAAGAACATGTTCTTCCATGCACAAGTACTGCTAACATACACTTTGACACAAAACACAACAAGATACATACTAGTGCACACATCTGTAAGACACCAGATGAAACAGAAATGGCCGGAATAACCGTAGATTCACAGAGTCTTGAAATTGGGGACAATAACCACCTGAAGCGTGCCGAGAGCCCCGGTTATAAAAAGCACACACACACCACAAAGATTGACAGTCCAAAAATCGACAGTGTTCACACACAGACACACACCCCTGATGACAACAATCTCACTAAAGACCAGCAGCTCCAAGAAGAGGAGAGATTCTTATTGGCTAAAATTCATCTAATGACAGGCGATGCATCCCCCGCCTGCAGTCCTGGTAGTATGAAGCGCCTTATCCCTGCCCCTGGTGATATACACAGTGATGCCACAGAGCCCCAGAGACGATCAGAAATCCCCACAGAACTTACTGATCACAATCAGTGCTTCGTTATTCCCTGCTTTGCTGCCTCAAAGGAAGAGCTGCTGGGAGAGGAGGATGTGTAAGTCAGCATGAGGGGTCAACCTGCACTGCTTTAAAAAAACACAGAAGCCTTGTGTGTGTGTTTGGTGTGTGTTATGCAGAGTTGTGGCTTCAGACTTGTATTTAAATTTCATCTGTTTATTAATCATGATGAGTACAACAGTCTTTAAAAGAGATGTGTAATGTCCTCTGCAGCTATCAGGTCTGAGACAATAAGCCTGGCCTGCTTTACAAACTTGGTGTGTGAGACATGGACTATTAGCAGGCTAATGAGTTGACACACTGAGGACACAAGGCTTGACTTACTCAACACATGACTCCATAAAGATTTGACATGACTGAAAAACATTTAAATCTCAAGCTTTGACCTGGTAAAATCACAAAGAAACACGAGACGGAAACATGCAGGCCTTGTAGAGCCAGACATCTTGGCTATTTTATTAGGCCTGTGCATTCAAAGTGCCTTGGCGTTTGCAGCTTAGAAATTCACAATGTTGACATTGTGTGTCGTGATTTAAGACTTGACTTGACTTGGATTTTCTCCCAGAAAATTTCAAAATAACTATGGTGCCTTCTATGTATGTGTTGCTAAATGAGTGCATAGGGGATACTGTGTAGTTAGGTGCGTCTCTTGAATTGTGGCTGTTTTTCAACTGAGATATACCCTCGTATCCGTGTCATGTTGCATGTCTCTTGCTCAAATCTACAAATCACCAGTGATGTTGCTGATACCTGTTTGCTTGCATGATCTCCTTTATTCCACTAAACAAAATCTGTCTTATTGGTCATCGCCCTTCTTGTGTGTTTGTACGTCTTACTGCCTCACAGGCTAAAACACCAGGTGACCGACGTCCCTGATGGTCGACTTACTGCGTTATCAGAAGAAGAATCCTCAGACATTAAGAGGCCTGACGCGATTCCAACTGTTCGAGAGGCAGCTGATGGGAATGATGACACAGCTGAGGTAAATACTGACGTGCACTGACATGCTTTTTTACATCAGATACAAACAAACACAGACACATACAACCAAGTCTGAACTGACCTCTTCCATTAGGACCTGGTGAACTCCAGCCAGTCACTGCTTCAGTGGTGTCAGGACATCACCAGCGGATACCAGGGGGTGAAGGTCACAAACTTCAGCACGTCATGGAGAAACGGCCTGGCCTTCTGTGCCATCCTACATCACTTTCATCCTGATAAAATGTACAGCATTTTCAATTTGTTTGGTAGTTTTCTAATTGATTTTGTGGCGTGTTCTCATTATAATCTACTCTGCTTTTGTCCCATTAGAGATTTTGGCCAGTTAAAGCCCCATGACATCAAGCTGAACAACAAAAAGGTAAGGTGCATCATATGTAAATCATACCCTCTAGGATATGATCTTTTTTCTCGATACAATTTCATGCATGACATGGTGTGTGAGTCGATTCATTCAAGATACAATTAAACATTCAGTGACAACAGTGTATGACTAGCTGTAGAATACTTGCTGTTGGTGGTGTCATTGCTGTAACATATTCTTTACTGATGATGCCTTTCTTTTCTGACAACATCAGGCGTTTGATGGATTTGAGGCACTAGGCATTTCTCGTCTGCTGGAGCCGTCCGACATGGTTCTTCTCTCCATCCCCGACAGGCTCATAGTCATGACCTACCTCAGCCAGATCCGCTCACACTTCACCAATCAGGAGCTTAGCGTGCTGCAGATAGAGCACAACAGCAGCCAGTCCAGCTATGGCCTCGCCCCTTCTGGTCCTGCTCCCACAAACGTTGACGCCGCTGCATTTTGCATGGCCAGGCTGAATGAAGGAGTGAGTCTAGAGGAAGGAGGGACCAGCACGTTGGCTGTTCCACCACCAAGGTCCAAACGACCGGTTAAAGGTATCTGTGTATCATTCATTCCATCTATCTTGAAGTCTAATTATAGCTGTATAATAACAAATTGTACTTTAGCTTCCTGATTATATCTCAAAGTACTTAACCCTTCTACATAAAACATGCTGGATTCCATAGAAGTGCAAAAAAGGAAAACTAATAAAATGGAGCGAAGTAGAATTAAGTTAGGAGGACAGAGAAGAGAAAGGAAAGGGGAACATTAGTGTGTTTCCAGGGAGCGTAGGAATGTGAAGTAGCAGACTTTGAGCTAAAGAGACAAGAAATATGGATAAACAAACCATTAAATCAAGTTTACAGCACCTCTATTAAGATTCTGGTAAGTTTCCTGTAGTTTGCAAAGATACCAGCTTTGTCATGCTGAGTTTGATGCTCCCAGTTTGATCCAGTGGTGCTGTCATGAACATAGGATTTTAGATATAAATATTCCTCTCAATATGAGAATCAAGAATTGTATTGTCCTCATTTCAAAGCTCCAGAAAAACCCTGAAAGCCTATTTTCTCAGTCAGGTTCTTACTATGAGTGATGGAGTCCTACATGGACACAGTATTTCATGCAAAAGTTAGAACAGTTTTTAGCATTTTTATGATGCTGAATGGTTTTTCTTTGTGGTCCTCTCCCCGGTTTGAAGTGAGCAGTGCTCAGCTGAACATGACCGCTCAGGATATAGCACCATGTTAACCAAACTGTGACCACAGCTGTGGGGTTGTTTGCTCATGTTACCACTGTTAATCAAAGCAGGCAGTCCTGCCAAAACAGATTAGCTCGTTCCCAGATTTTAACTTATGTTTTTGCTTTTTTAGTCAGTAAGATTTAATGTTATAAAGAAATAGAAGTGTTTTCACAGGCTTTATAATGGGGAAATAATGAGATTTTATTATTGCTCTTGTCTGTTTTTAGTGGATGAGAAAATAACCCCTGTCCCACCACCAAGGGCAGCTGCAAAGGCCGTGAAATCTGGACCGAACTGTTTTTTGAATTTGTAATATTAATCCTGCAAAACACCATTTAGAAAAATTGTTTAAGGCTTTAAATTGTATTCCTAAGTAGAGGAAATACTGCTATAAATGCTTTATTCATGTATTTATATGAATGTTTCATGTTTTTCATCTTCAGGATAAAGATAAAACGACAATCTCTGCCACAGAGAGCACTAAGAATACAGGTGGGCACATGTTTTCATCAAGGTTACACAGTATGGTGTAATTCCTTTCCTGCTGTTCTTTTTTACACTGTTATTTGTCCTTGTTTGTGCAGAGCTGCAGAGTGAAGCTGAGACCCAGCCTCCCAAACAAGAAGCAGAAACAATGGTCAGTTATCTGCGCCTCACTTTATTTCTTATCTTCTCTGCTTCTATTCTTTATCTTTTTCTCTCGCTCTCAGATCAAAATCAACTAAACATCAAAATAAATGGACATATTTGGTACTAATTGGCAGTAAGAACGACCCAGTCACATTTGCTTTTCTCTTGTAGAAAGCTGTTCAATTCATTATAAAAAAAAGCATTTCTAGGATTCTGCATTCACACCTTGTATTTTTCCAGCTTTTCTCTAACCTTTTGACTCTCTTCTTCTTCCCTGTTCCCCCCTTCCTCTCCACTTTCTGACTCCCTCTTCCCTTTGATCTTCTTTGTTCATGTGTGAATGTTTATGTGTGTTTTCATGTGTGTGTGTGTGTTGGGCTTGCGGTCAGTGTCTACAGGACACCAGCCAGTATGTGCTGAGTGAACTTGCAGCATTGGAGACAGAGCAGAAGCACATTGACAGCAGAGCTGCCGTAGTAGAAAGACGACTTCGAAGCCTTATGGAAACGGGTGAGTCACGCATATGTCATGATCCTGGACTATTTCCTGTTTTGAACTATTATTTTGAAGGCATTTCCTATTTCACATCACTCTCACCTGTCCCGGCTTTACTCTTACCTAGTCTTATCTGTTACTGACGCCTTGTGCCTTATCCCTGGTTTTGGGCTCTGGTTGCATGGACTCTGTTTTTGCTCCCTCCTGTATTTGGCAGTGGTGTCGGGTTTCTATAGAATTGTATAAAAATGTTCTTTTTCTGCTTCTACAGGAAGTGACCGTGATGAAGAGGAGAGATTGATCCAGGAGTGGTTCACTCTGGTGAACAAGAAGAATGCTCTGATACGCAGACAGGACCACCTAGAGCTACTGTAAGACCTTCCCTATGCAAACAGTATACACAAGTACAGGCACATACTACATACTCCTCTTTATGTGTCTGATGACTGATTATTGTGTCTACAGGCAAGAGGAGCAGGATCTAGAGAGGAGATTTGAGCTTCTGACCAGAGAACTGCGGGTCATGATGGCTATCGAAGGTTAGCAGCCAACAGTGGTGGAAGAAGTTTTCAAATCATTGAGTTAGTAAATGTTGCAATGCCACAGTGTAAATTATATCCCAAAATATCCCAGAGACACTTAAAGAAATGAACAGAAATTAGAAATAGAGTTATGCACTTAAACAAGTTTGGTTTTTAAGTAATGCTTCCTAATTCTAAACTACAAATAATCACACTGTGAAAATTAATTTTAAAACCAAAGGCAATATTTAGTGTAGTGTTTGTTTGTTTTAAAACACCACAAAATAATGGAAAAAATATTAACGAAAAACTGACAAAACTGCTATTGTGACTTCAGTCTTATATTATATAACTAGAACTGGTGAAAACTAAATAACTAAAATGTTATTTCACACACACACCTCAGCGCTCAAATGTGCGCATGTGTGCTCCTGAGTGTGTGTAGATTCAGTTCTTATCTAAGAACAAATCCCAGATAAGAAAATATTAGTGAATGGCAGAAAATGCATTTTACAAAGAAAGTGGTTGGTGAATTATTTTTAATTATTAATTTAATTTGTATTAATTATTAATTTGCACAGTAGTAACTGTCAAATATTGGAATAAAAAGTAGCATAAAATTTAAAAACTGCTAGTACAATTCAAACTTTATTTGTATACACCACCTCCACCTAAGCTACCCTGTCTGCTGCTTGCCACAGAGCAGCACCAGAAGAAAGGCCTGATGTCGAGTTTGTTGCTCAATGTAAAAAGAAGGAACTGAGCTATTACGTGAAGTTCTGTTTGTCCTGCAGACTGGCAGAAGTCATCCACTCAGCAGCAGAGGGAGCAGCTGCTCCTCCAGGAGCTGGTGTCTCTCGTCAACCAACGGGATGAGATCATCAGAGACATCGACGCCAAGGAGAGAGGGTGAGAGTATGTGGGCGTGTAGTTGTGTGATAAAGGCAAAGTGAGCCACAGGAGGAAAAGATAGAAAATTCCCATAGTAAAAAAGAGAGCTCTGAAAAACACTTTTGCCAAAATATGAGCATAACATTGTGGTTAATTCAGTGCTGTTCCAGTGCAAGCAATTGATAGAGGTCTGGGTACATGTGACCAAGAGTTAATATTATACACACTGAATTGTAATAAGCGTTTTGTACATGCAGGGCACTGGAGGAGGATGAGCGTCTGGAGCGAGGTCTAGAGATGAGGAGGAGAAAACACAGCAACAAAGACAAATGTATCCTACAGTGAGAAGAAAGGACAAGCACAAACAGCTTTTACTGCTGAGCCCCCGAAATGCTGAAAGATTTTATTTTTGTATTTTGTTCTTAATTTGTGTGCACAACTTATTCTCTAGTGTGTTTTGGATAAAGACATATCTATTAGACTTTGGAGACTCGTATTTTCCTTTTTAAGTGCCTTTATTTTTCTGGAGAGCTGCTAGGTTAGGGCTGCAAACTACCTTTTTTGACAGTGTTAAAAATGAATATCTGTTCAAGCAATTGTTTTCAGTTTGACTTAATATAATTTTGATTATATTCACCTTTATTTATTTAAATACTGCAATTGCTGTACATCTGTTGTACATATGTCATTTTGTTTGTGTGTATATTCTGTGACTTCACTGAGTATTTGAACTCTGGATCTTCCTGTTCCTTCGGGAGAGAGGACGGGTTCAGTTTGTCATGACAAGCTTGTCAAAATGCACCGTAGCCCTGTAAATGTTCTGCCAAAAAATTACATGTGTTTATGATGTGCACAAAAATTTGTTCTCTTTCCAGTAATCTCCACCTTGAAATAAAAAGAAATCTGTTAACAGATAAAACATTTCATATATGAAAACTACATGTGCTAAGTTATGAGCTGGACGCAACTCGAACCCACAGTGCTGTTAGTACATGCTACGTTTTCAGCTGCAGGGTGACGACCTGACGATGTGACGATGCAAAACATGACAATTTGATAAAGTCTGAAAACTCTTCACATTTTTAAATATTTTACTTTTTTTAAAGATATGTTTTTCCTGATAAGGAGTTATCAAAACCTTGTATGCACACAAAGGATGCTCAAGATTGTTTTTAGCTGAAAGCATTTATTTAAAGATAGACCCTGTGTGCCTTAAATCACTCATGTATGGTTGTGATGCCCATGCCTGCTTTATTCACAGAAATGAACATACCTCCTTTGTGTTGTTTGACTACTGTATGCATGCATTTTGAGGTGTACTGATAAAATGGTACTCTGCTTCACATCACTGCTCGCTACCTATCACACACTAGATGTGGTCTGTGTTTGAGATGAAGACGTTGGTGAATGATGATAATTATGATGGAAAAAAATAAATATTGGTTGGTTGCTCACATTTGCTATCATTGAGTTATGTGTCTTTTTAGTAAGCTACACCATAATGCTTTGGACACAAATATAATACAACAAACTCACCATATATGAAGCTGATATATTAAAATGTTTATGTTATCAAGTGTAATCAACTCCAACTCTTTGAGGCTGCTATTTGTGCATTGGAACTGGGTATTGTTAGATATTCTTGTTCTGGTAGATAACTAAAATATTAACTTTAAGTTAAAACCAAATATTTTTTATCTCTGAGATGTTTATGACATTGCCTAATGCAAAAAACTGTATTATTACTACATTTTTTAGCCCAGCCGAACACACCTACAGCAGCAAAATTGTATTTACACCTTAATGACTCAGTAATAATAATGGCTGCATTAGTTTAGTTAGGTGTACCTAATAAACTGACATCTTAGTGTATATGCAGACTCACTGCCAGGATTATGTACAGCACAGTGTACCTCAGAGGCTGATGTGAAAGTGACCATGATCCATCCTCCAGATACAGTTTGGCCTGTGAACATCAATCAAGCTGAGAGGGATTTGGTGTATTGGCTGTCACTCATTAGTTAATACTTTATGGTAAAAGCTGTGTTCATAAAGATATATTCTGCCTTTCCAGGTCATTTTGTCTGTGTGGGAGATGATGAGAGTTCATATGGAGGGTTTTGCACATGCAGTCATTCTGCCACTGCAACTAATCATGGTAAGTGAGAAAGTCTGAACTCACATTAAGCCTTGAAAATAAGATGATGTATCTGTCCCTGCAGACCATTTATAGTGAATGTTTTCTTTGTTAAAATCACAAGTATTGGTATAAAACTTGAGCACCTGTTGCTCTCAGCTGTTTTCATAATTGGCATGGTAGTACTTGGCTGGGAACACTGGTTTGACTGGACTGGGAAGCTGGAAAAAACAACAGAGCAAAAACTTCATATCTAGTGTTTCTATGAACCAGTGTTCATGTTTACCAACCATAAGTTACTTGGATGAAAGTGATCAGAAATTAAGACACCACTGAAAGCAGAAGTGCTCTGTAATTTTGACATTTCACACATTCAGTTTCCATTCCTCCTACAATACAGCATGGCCTCACAGCTTCCATTAGCTTCCTGCGTTTTGCAGTGATGTCCCATGAGCATGTTTCAACCTCACATTGAAAAACTGGACCTTGTTGGTTCTAAAGCCTCTTCTCTAACCTTTTTATGTGCTTCCACCAGATGTTACAAACGACTGATTTTATTCTAAACATCAAGGTTTTTTTTCTCTTTTATCTTGGTTTTTTGGTTCATTCTGCAAGGAACAACCCTGATGGCTTCACTGGGGAACTGCAGTCTGCACTGAGTGATTTTATTCACTCAAATGTTATGTTGAATGAATTGGGACTGACAATTTTAACATGTGTGTTTACATGTATTTGATGTGTATTTGTGTGGATGCTTACCTCAGTTACTCTGAGATAAAGCAGATGTATGATTTTGAGTTCATGTAGGCTATTTTATCTAGTGTTAGTGAGAATTTAATGTCGACGTGTAACACTGGCAAAACTCTGCTAGCAAGAAGCCTTTAGAGCTGAAGACAAACCAGGCGTGTGCCCTCTCATTAGCTCCGTGTGTGAATAGCCTGCCGGTATGCTAGTGTTTTGTTTTAGTATGCTCATTTTAACAACAAGGTTAACTGTTAAAACTTGCTTTTGCCATGACTTGGTGGTAACTAGTCCCCTATCCCCTGTTAGCTCTGTAGTCTGACTGCCAGCGTTATGGGAACGGTGTTATAGTATATCGAATACATCTGGACTAGATTGATGTTAGCACCCTCTTATTTTAAACACCCAACAAGTTCACTAATGTTTAGAGGACACTGGTCTTTGACATAGATGTCTTTTTTGTAGTGCAGAAACCTTTTTAGATAAGTACATAAGTATAGAGTTTATAGAGTTTTTCTGCCTTGTCTGTGTGAGATGGAGCCTTCATTTAGATTGAAGTCCAGACAAACCATCAGCTGCCAGTCATCAACAATGAACAGCCAGAAAAGCCTATTTTGTTTAAATTAAGATCTATTCAAAATATCAGCAGGTTTTATTGACAGTAGAAGTAATGCCAGGATTTAATGATGTCAAAACTATCAGTAAGTAACTTGATGTCCTGAATGATGTCCTGTTGACACTGGAGAGAACTTGTCTAAATCTAGATTACTAAAGGTCTTTGAGTATCCAGAGATGAATACTTGTATAAAGCAGCAAGTAATGGAGTCTTGTAATGTTGTTCATGTGTTGTCTGCAAGGGAGACAACACATGAAGTTAATTCACTTGGCGCCTATAACTTGGATGTGGTGTAGAAAATATTAAACACAGACGGACATGTTCTTCAAATTAAGACTTTTTGTTGTAATTTTTATCATATACATTTGTGGCACACTTGTCTTATCCTACTCCTGTAATCCCTCCTGTTCTCCAAGGTGGCAGTGGCCAGAGGATCCTTTCTATTGGCTACACAAACAAGATGCTCCACATCACCAACAATGGGAAACACATGCTTTACATTTTCCCAAGACAAGAACAAATTGGCACTACACCTCTTTAAGCTGTGGATGGGTAAGTTCACCAGAACAATAGAAACTATGGTGTAATTTCATACGTAGATTTGTACAAAATATTCTCCATCTTCAGAGATGTTCTAGGCAGGCATTTTTAGGATGCAGTGTATGGGGTGGTGGTTTATTGTATTGTTATATGAAGGACATCTTTGTTCTTCATGAATGAACGTAGTGGTACAGTGAAAGGTGACACTAATCTCACATGAGGTTAATTCGATAGCTTTCATAGAGCTTTTAATTACCATTACAGGCTTTCTCATCCAGGTTTGCATCATAAAAAATTCTGAACAGACCTTGGTGGTGTGATCAAAACCTACAGGAATATTTTAGCAGCACTATCATTTTGTTTAAAGTAGAATTGTATTGAGACTGTACTAGTATTTGGTAGTACTTTATTACTCATGTTCACATGCTGTATTTTGACAATGTGCACAACAGTAGGACTAACCATACTTTGCATAGATATATAAACAATATTTATGTAGTTTATTTCCCCCACTATTTTTTTCATGAAAGGCAAGTTTAACTGTAAAACAATATTTCAACACTTTTCATATGTTGTACACTGAACAATGTATTTGAATACAGTACACCTGAAGACCTGCTGAGTACATCAGTTCCACAACTTGGGAGTAACACAGCTCGGTGAAGATGACCCAAAGCTTTGTGGGCTCACACTACAGACCTCCAGACTATTCAGATAATGAGTAAATGGTTCAGACCATTGTGAAATATGTTCCAAGCAAACTTATCAAAACCAAAACATGATGGGTTGAAATTATAAAGCATATCAGGCTTTAAACTCAAGCTTTTTCCATTTCCCCCTTAGGCAATCCTTGCACAGATGTCATTTTGTGGTCAGACCATCAGTAGCAGCGTTCTTGAGGACATGCATAAACGGGTAAGTTTGTTTATAAATGGACCATTTGTTATTGAAATCAAAAATATAAAAAAAAAAAAGAACTTCCCTTTTTTTTTTTTTTTTTTTTGCAGCTACTCCATCCCACTGCTGAAGTTTTGGGTAAGATGGGAAATCCCTACAGCAAAGCACCTGCGCACTGCCTACTTACAGAACGCAACACATGAAATGTTTACTGTGATTTTTCTAATGCAACCCACCTGAGTAAAAGAATGGCTCTCGCTGTCGTCCATCTTGATTCTCCACTACAACCTAACTTCCAGAACGGCCACCGGTGACCAACTTTAAGAACCCAGCTACCACCTGATTGGATGATTTCACTCTTCTCTGTGATTCGTCTTCTTCCAACCAGCTTTAGTTGCATTACCGCCACCTTCTAGACTGGAGTGTGGATCAGAACAACCCCCTACCTACTACTATAACAAAATAATCTCACTCGGTTCACATATTATCTTGCTTAACGCTGTGTTCTCCAAAAATCTAAAAGGTGCTCTGTATCCTATATCCCCTGATCACTGTCCAGTCAGACTGAGGTGTGATTTACGCTAAACCTTTTGTTTTGTTTTTTTATTGAACATACACAAGGCAAGTAAATAAATTGTCTACAGAACCCATAAGGAACCAAGCAACAAATCACACACCTTAATATTTGAACAGAACAAATTAATCAATTGAAAAGAGAAAACAAAAAAATAATAAAATTAAATAAATACATTAAAACATATAGCCAGGGGCTTACAATAAATCAAATCATCCAATTGCAGACAAAAGACCTCAGGCTCCTCATGCAGCTCAGGGATTTCTTAAATGCAGATTTTTCATGCCTAAACGCATCTAAACAAGGTTGCCTTTTACTCCATTTACATTTATGAATATAATATTTTGCCAAAATGATAGTTGACCAAGAATTCCACATCTTTTTCTTTCAGAGATATACCAAATTTAATGTTTTCTAAAGGGTGCTAAGAAATCCATTTTGGACCTGAGTCAGTCATTTAAACATGCCCAAATGTTAGATGTACGATTACAATAGAAAAACAAGTGATCTATGGTCTCTGCCTCAGTTACAAAAAGTACAACAGTTCTCATCCATATTAAATTTCAATCTATAAGAATTTTTTAAACACACTAAACCTTAATACTCCTAGAGTTGTACTTTCTGCCTGTGCACAAATATTCACAAATGTGCTTGTTTTCAGTGTGTGACAGTTTAAAGATTTTATTCACATGTTCAAACGTTTTTACATACAAGTTTTTACTACACATGCTCACAAAAATTGACCATGTACATACAGTACATTGCTATTTACCCCATTAAACTGCCATTTATTTGATTAGCAGACAATAATGGGTCACACTTAAGATTGGTGTAATGCTGTGTGCCACCACTAAAGGGTAGCATTACTGTGTGCTGAGGAGAAGGAATACAGTGTTCACCTTGTTTTCCACAGAGGCAAGAGCACTGGGAAGGAGGCGACAC